TTCATAAGCCGACCAACACTTTAAGTACCCTACACCAGAACTTTACATTACTCACTACGCTATCCCATCATACACAATCAGTACTTCGATGAATACTAGTAAATAATGAATACTTTCCATTTGTGACGAACTTGTGAGCATTATACTCGCCCTTCAGTAAACAGACAGATTCCTCGACAAACCTGTGGGTAGTATAAGTTCAAAATACCAAGCGAGACTTTAGGATCTGTACCGAAATTTCGTCAGACACGAATCTACCAGGGCTGATAAAACTTGCAAGACACATGAAGTACTGCAGATCAGTTAATAATTTTGCAATAGCAACAAAACCAAAATTTATAAAAAGCAGTATATTAGCATCGACTATTGAAGAATAATGGAAGAGTTAAAAGTATTGACTAGTGACAAATTAATACAGCACATCAACTCCAAGCAATAACGAGAGAATCGTTGGAGTAAGTTGACTAGTCATTCTTCAACCCATCAGTCCCCATAGATATTATTTATTTATTTAAATACATGAACATTGGCATGAAAACGCGCTAAATAGATATGCGCCACATAAATCATTTGGTTTGTGTGAGGGCTGAGATACTGCCCGAAGCAGGGTCCCATAGATAATCCTAGATGACAAAATAATTTTATCAGATGACCTTGTGCAAACTAAAGACTCTTTAGAAAATCCTTAAATAGAACCTTGAGCTTCAATTGTATTTAATTCTGGCCGCCAAATGCCCTGGTAAGGTCGAGAGCGCGGTGGGCCCGTCTTCCCACTCGAAATGCTCTCACATAGCCACGCGTATACAGCCTCTGCCAGGGAAGTTCTACTCACTGCCTTCTCGTAGCAGGGGTGTTGTTTACGAAAATGAGAGGACGGAAAGCGAATGTCCGGCGCTTTAACCAGATTCCAAACCAATGGTGTACATGAGCTCCAGTGTCCTGAAGGAACAAATAGCGTACGAACCAATTTTTGGTCACCGGCTACCATGGGACTGCATCTCCTCACGATGCTCCACTGCCTTGTGGGTCAGACCTTTAGGTCAAAGGCTCGGAGGGCGGCCCCCTAAGAACACCACCTGCTTCAGTCTGGGCACCCGGGCAGTATCATAGTTCACACACAAATATAATGATAATGAAAATGTGTGGCGCATACATATTTGGTGCCCTTTTGTACCAATATTTATGTGTTCAAATAAAATAAAATTGATGCCGTTCCTAATTACACTGAGTTAAATTGAGGTGTACTAACAAGGAAGTCACTGGTCGAGGGAATACTTAGGGCAGTATGTCGAATAGACTAAAGGGCATTATATCAATAAATAAATAAAAAACAAATCTAATTAAAACGCACAAAAATATCTTCAAAAAACCTAGGATATTTGTCCCGACAGGCATCCAATCGGATGAACAAGATTCACGGTTCAATGAACTAGATGATTTTTCACTTTTATCACATGACATGTTAGGGTACGACTGATTGGAAAATGTAGAGGATCTTACTGATTCGGTGGCAGGATAAATAGATGGTGGTAGATCTCCTGACTTAGCACTATAATCGGACGATTCGGTTAGTAGAACTAAATGAGGAATATTTCTTGGTACTTGATCAACAATTGAATTGACAGCTGCAACTCTTGCTTCCCAAGAACGTCTACGATGTGGACACATTAAACTGGAATATAATCTTTTGTCTTTCCATGTATCAGGTTTAATATGCAATAGAGAACTGTTGTTGGAATTTTTCAACGAATGCACACAATTACAACACTGACCACAGACACAACCTAAAGCATTGATTTCTTTTTTATTGTAAAATAGGTTGCAACACGTGCATGATAACTGATCAAGAGAACAAGGAAATTCATAGGAGTGGTCACATTCTACATGTGCCTTAAAATCACACTCATTTTCGTCAGGTGAGTGATCATTTAAGAGTAATTGAGGTGACGAACTGCAATCATGCATATTTACCCCACGCAAATTCATAGAATTTATAACTCTATCTTGGAGTTTCTTTGATAAGTGTGTAGGCGGGGAGATTTCACCAGTTTCCTGTGATAATTCATTGGACTGTTCTTTATCAGCAGGAGATGGAGCGCTAGTAAAAAGGATTATCCCTGAATAGGGTAGGAGGTGTGAATTCGTAGTGCTTAAGTCTACATTGTTTTCTTCAAGTAATATACCATTAGATTGTTCAGATTTACTTGTAATATAATCTCGATACAACAATAGTTTATTCAATAGCTTAAAAGAAAAAAAAACTATGATTTATGTCTAAAAAATTTTGTAAACAAGAACATGATATAACGGTAATAAATGGAGAATAGCAACTGTTCATCATTGTTACAAAAAACAAGTCTAACTCATTAATTTGACAGAGGTTTCTATATTAACTGAGTGGAAAATTCGTTGTGTAAAAAATTGACCATCATTAAATAATTCATCTCTCGTGGAGGAGCATAGGCCGCCCACCAACAAAATAAACTACTCCAATTCAATATTCTAACATAATTACTGGTTAGTTTTTGAACAGATAACAAACAGGGAGGATGAACATATGAAGTTTTCATTCGATGACTGTCTGTCAAATTAATAAGCCAATGAAGTTATAAACACAAATGAAATTTATCATCGAATAAAATCTAATAGTTTGTAAATTTTACCCAACAGAACCTAGCCTATAACCTACTATGGTCAACTGAGCTTCTTGATATTTTAATTCAAAATCTTCACACAAATAAACATGCATGCTTTGTTGACGCTTATGTACATAACAATCGGGACATGAAACTTAAACGTCTCCTCAACTGACTACTATAAACAGAGTAATAACAAGTTTTTCTCATTAATGGTTGCAGTAACACTTACTTTCAGCCATACACACCATCTACTGTTGGCCATCATTTCTATATATATTATGTTCAACTTAAGAGGCACAAACGAAATGCGTTTGAAATCAGTTGAACAAGTCTTGGTAGCTCTTCTTGTGAAAAGCTTGGTCTAGATTCAAAACACCTTAAGCCAGTACACAATAATATACACATTTCTAAAGTTAATATTTTTTACTTTTTCTTCATTCAGACAAAAAAACACTAAACATCATGAATAATAATAAAGCGCATTTGACACATTCAAATTGCAAAACAGGTAGGATTGATAAATTACTACCAAACTTTGTATCTCCATTCAGATCAGCTGAGACATGAAATTTGCCATTCCATGTTACCAATATTCGAGTTGATATCTTTTGGGAATGCTAAACCCCAAATAAAACGTATGAGAATGAAAATCATTTTAGATCGATAAGTGGCCAAGTAGGAAGTAATGTATCATTGACTGATGATCATTCTTTACTTTCATCTTAGCAATTCAAACTTTCGTTCATCAAACCGTAAAACATTACTTTAAAACAATATCATTGTATAGTCCTTAAATAAACCAAATATCGATTATTATAAACCAATAGTCTATGATTGGGCATTTTGCGACACAATCACATAATTAATCAACAAAGTGATATCCAACCAATAGAGTGAAATAAAGATTAAATCAAATGGATTCAATTGTTAAGCAAACTTACTGTATGGTGTGACATTAAATGAATGTGAACTTGGCCATCGTATATCTTGAGTGACTCTACGTCTTTACATGAACTTATTATAGATGGATTTGGAACAGGTGTACTAGAGAAACCAGACATAAACAATCTTGTTGTTGGTAGAGGCCATGTAGCAGTTAGCACTAAAGAATCTGATATACTGTTCTCCTCTGAAGCAGACAAAGTTGAAGGCTTCAGACTAGTGTGTTGACGACGATGGTGATAATCCTGGCAATGATCAGATCGATGATCAACTGAATGCTCTGAAGTTTTTGAAATAAAGGAAGCCATACAGAACCCTGCGCACGACAATAGATTAATGATGGCATGTGCAGCCAATGTATCAGTGCATACGCATGCGATAGCAATTGATAAAACTAGCGGTGAATGGTCATAAACCGATAAAGGAAGACATGAAGGACGAGGTCTTTGAGGTGTACTTGATCTGGGAATAGACAACATACTTTTATCCAAACAGAAGTAATCACTGTTACCTTCGGAAAAGTTAGTGAATTGTCCTCTGGAATATACAAAATTACCCGAAAGGTATTCATGTGCGAGTTGCTTAAAGAGTACATCCATACACCCGCCGCATAAAACAGTCAGACATGGTGAACATAAATATGATGGTTCAAATTGACAACTTTCAGAGCAATAATCTGCTGTTGGGTCGATACATAAGGCATTATCTATTACTGGAGAATCCATTTCATTGGATGCCATGGGGTTTCTGGAAGCTTGCACTGCTTCACCATATAGATAACAAAAGTTTTATTATTCGATCTACTGAACGAAATAAGTTTGAATTGCTACTTTATATATTAATCGGATCAATTGGAATAAATAAATCGTTAATCTGTTAATATACATTAAGAATAGCAGTTTGTTTCTTAAAGACGTCAAATACAAAAATTGTTACTGAAATTAAGAAATTCAGTACTCAGTTCACTGAGCAAACGCTTAATTTATCAATGAGAAAGGCTGAAATTACCTGTTTAAGCATAAAATCCTTGAAAAGAGGATCCTCACATCCATTAAAATACTTTGAAGAACTTTTAATTCAATACTCTCAGTAAATTTACCGTCCGCTTTATACCCAACGGAGGTATTCTCTTCTTTATACTTTCGGCCTAACTGCGAGTCGACTCCGTCTGGAGCCATTCTAAAGTTTCTGCAGGCTTAAAGACCGGATAAAACAAGAGGGTTGGACATGGGGGGAGCAACCCGATCTCGTAGAAAACAACTTTGCTAAATAAACCTTAAACATTAAAAATCACTCAAACCACTTAAACTCTGCCCTATAAGTTGGAAGATCTTCGTCTCATGGTGAAAAATGAGATGCTTCGGAAGTCACGAGCCGATGGCTCTTTGCATAACCAGAGCGGAAATTAATATAGGTACATGAAATGTCCGGAAAATATAGAAAACCGGGAGAATCAGTCAGATAGCTGCAAAGTGAGGAGATACAACTTGACGATTCTCATAATAAGTAACACCAACTGAACCCAAGCTGGAATCGATAAAGATCGGTTTTATAGCAGGCTGTATTCGATCGTAGAGAAATTCTCAGGAAAGGACCTGACCATACTGATGGAAAACCTAAACGCCAAAGTCGGATATCATAGGAAAGCATAAACTGACTGGGAGAAAGGAAAGAGAAGGGTTACAGATTTGCGAATCCATATGCCATCAACAAAACGGTTATAGGTTGCATTATACTCTCCCACAAATGCATAAACAAAGCCACATGAGTCTCACCAGATCACACTATAGAGAACCAGACTGATCACACATAAAATAATAAAATTATTCAGAGGGTTCATGAAAGACGTAAGAACAAGGTAAGCACCTGATATCACTTCAAATCACCATCTGATAGTCTCAGCTGAAACTAAAGCTAAAGAAGAAGTGGGAAATCGGTCGAACAGAACTACAAAAGTTTAATTAAACCCTCCATTTCGGGGTACCAACAGATTCAACGAATTCAAAATAGTTCTCAGTGACAAATTACAAGCTTTACAAGATCTACTCAAGGAAGAGGAAACCACTCATGTTGATAAGCTGGAAAGGGAATAAACAAGCACTAACTTCAATGTGTCAGGAGTTGCTGGGCCTCAAGAAGTATCATCATAAGGAATGCATCTCTACCGATACTCTGGACAGGATTGGAGAAAGGAAGAACAAGAAGACAGCAATTAACAACAGTCGAACAATAGCAGAGAAAATCAAGACATAACCTGAATGCACAGAAGTAAACACACGAGTGAAGAGGAGCATTAGATCCGACAAGTGGAAATAAGTGGAAGACCCGACAATGACAATGGGAAAAGCTGAAAGAGAAGGGAACATGAGACAACCATGTAACATAACAAAGAAGCTAGTAGGGAAATATGGTAAACTAGAGAGACCAGTCAGGAACAAGGAAGGGAAACCAATCATTGAGATTCAAGAGCAACGAAATAGGTGGATAGGGCATTTTGGAGCGCTTGGATAGACCAGCCGTCCAAACCCACCGGACGTTGAAACAGTACAAACGAATATTCCTATAGTTGTCCACTTATAGTCTAAGAATACGCAGATGATATAGTCCTGTTTGGTGAAGACGCTTACAAAATACAGTCTCTTGGTAGCACTAAGCAATAATGCCAGAATGTTTGGAATGCGCTTCTCTCCCTCTAAATGCAAGCTGCTGCTTCAGGACTGGTCTGCGTCAACACCTGAACCAAAGATAGGGAGTGAAGTAGTCGAACGCGTTGACAACTTCACTCATCTTGGAAGCCTGATCAGCCCTAATGGGTTGGTGTCGGACGAAATCTCAGCACAGATTTGAGAAATCGTTTGGCATTTGCCAACTTACGTCACCTATGGCGAAGGCGAGATATCTGTCTCTCAATAAGAGGACGAATATACTGAGCGGCAGTTCGTTCTGTTTTAATTTACGGCAGTGAAACACTGCCATTAAGAGTAGAAGACACTCGTAAACTATTAGTAATTGACCACAGATGCCTTCGAAATATTGCTGGCATCTGTTGGGATCACCGGGTAAGTAATAGTGAGGTAATACGTAGGCTATTAAGATGATGGTAAATCAGTTGATGAGGTTGAATCTTTATCGACTGAGATGGTTGGGCCACGTGTTACGTATGCCTGAACACTGATTACCACGACGTGCAATGCTAACCGGTGTTCGGGATGGTTGAAAGAAAGTTAGAGGCGGCCAAAGCAAAACGTGGCATCAGTGTTTGAAGTCACTAACTTTTAGTCTGAGCCATGTTGGTAGATGCAGACTACTTAGTTGGGGTGCGCGTGACTATCGTGACCAATGGTTGGAGACTCTTGGTGGCATGGCTCAGAATCGATCACAATGGCGTCGGTGTATACACTTTCTGTCTTCCCTTAAACTCAGAGATTAAAATCGCTTCATATCTTTCTTTCTACGAACTAATTCCTTCTTCATGTACTCTATCCTTATATGCATTCTTTCCTTTATATATTACCACCTCTGAATTAACTACTTTTATGAATCCGGTGTCCATCTTGTTGTGTTAATGAGGTATGGCAACTTGGACCGATGCATAAATGTGCCTAGTCCTACGTTGTAACTGACTGACTGATTGACCTATAGTTTTCACTCCACCAACGATCGAAGAAATCAAGGTGGCCATCAGACAAATCAAAAGCAGCAAAGCAGTAGAACCAGACAATACACCAGCTGGAGCACTGAAGTTAGACATTATACAGATTCTCCACGTTCTACTCAGAAAGATTTGGGAGGAAGAACAAGTGCCGACAAACTGAAAAGAGTGATATCACACCAAGCCTATGACAGAGTTGGTTAGAGAATCCTAGTTGGCAGCCTATGCTACAGGAGTAACATGTAAGTGAATTCATATTTAGAGACTGGGATTGCGAGTGATGCACTTACCCAAGACCGGACAAAAAACGAAAAACAGATCTGTTCAGAGTAAAAATGGTTGCTAAAACCCAGTTCTCTGGATGTTTTGGATAGGAATTTCAAAATGCCCAAGTACTTTTCAGACATATTGACCATAGGGGTGATATTACAAGACTGGTCGAAATTAAAACAACTTTAAATTTGCGATGTGATTGGATATGTCAACGTCAGTAAAAATAATCAACAGAATGGATAAATCCAAAGTACAAGAAGGTGCTGGCATTCGAAAATTCAAATGACCTATAAACATGTAGAAATACATCTTCCTATTAAAAATTCTATATCAAACTGTTTAGTTAGCTACATCATTACTTTGAAACCTCCTGACTGTAATTAAACCACTTAATAAGTACGGATTTATGAGTTGAACTTTGAACCACGTGATGGACGACAACACCAACTCGGCATTCAAACCAAGTAGATGGAGCGGGACTCAACATTATGGCCAGATAATCGAATGCTGAGAAGAAACACTAAGTATGGAGCGGTAGTCTAACTGAATTACAACACACGCATTAGTGCTTAGTAAACTTCGTTCTTTTCTACAAGATAAACCTAATATACAACCTCTCAACGTACTATAATACCAAAAAAGGACAGCAATGCACAATTAATACAGAACAAGGAAGTGTTAAGAAACACAAAGCCGTATCATTAGTGAGTAAACTGCTTGATGTACCTTCCGTGGCAAAGATGCACCATCAATTATCTGAAACGCACATAACTTTGCAAATATAACATTCTCTAAACGCATTTCTGTTTTGCATTCACGACTTATTAGAGACAACCCTGCTTTTAAGATAACCAATACGATGTGTACTTCACATTACTGAAAACCCCACGACATATGTTTAATCAAAATTAGTTGGGAACTAAGTCTTCCCAATCAATGCACCTTTATTTTCTCTAAACTTTACCTCTTTCATATCAAACTGATCAGCTGTGCATTAATATAGGTTTTGTCATCATTTTCAGTAATGGTATATATATATATATATATACCAGCCATTAACGTAACTTCCGACTAAACTGTGACGAGGAATACACATACTGTTAACAAAACGACACACATTTTGTTGTAAGACATCACAAGAAGGAGATAATACACTAAATTTATGTGGTTGTGCGGAAAGTCTTAGCAGTCTGGTAAACAAACAAAACTAACCTCTAAAGTCCATGGTCAAAATATCGTTCCACAGACTTCTTGGGATAAATCTGTGGGAATCAATGGACGGAATAAGCATATCAAAATAAGCTGTAATTAAAGTTTGTCGTTCCGATGGTAGATAAGCCATGGCTTGGTAGCGATCGTCTTTAGATAACTGTTCACTTAACCAAGTAATTTGAGTTTCTTTCACGCCTCTAGGGGAGCACTTAAATAATTAGTTTGATTAAAAGATACATACGGTGATGGTGCTGTTTGAACACCAATGTTTTGGTCGGAAGTACGTAACGTTCTTGAAGGCAATAGGTCGTGATTTATCTTTGAAGATCGTTCACTGTAATCCCCATTCGCTGAATCCAATGAATGTGTAATATATGGATAACTGTCGCGAAGGTGAGCCAAATAATCTGACACTGTCTTGACAAAAATCTCGGTTTGTTCAACCAATAAATCTAAAAAGTCCTCGCGTACTCGAATATGCAAACCTAGTTGAAACTGTTGATATATCTACAATGAAAATAAATTAGATCATAAAATTAGTCTACAGAATCCCTAAAGTAACTAATGAAGAATTAATGTATCATAAAGGTCGACACTTCAGTA